TGTCGCTCTTGGTCCTTTTTCTGCTCACAAATACTGGAATACATTCGTCTTTAATCGACTGCCGTTTGAAAGAGAGAATAATGCTCCGGAGCGTCGATAACTAACTTTCATAAGCAATGCATTCGCCATTGTGCCTGAATACCTGGCCTATGACATAGCACCACGACAGAAATTGTGCGAAACAGGAAACGTTTTTTGATTATGTGGCGTGCTTGAGAGAGCACATAAAGAATGCAGTGGTGATTCAGAAATCATCTCTGCACAAGACCATTTTTGAAGATACTACTTCAAAGAACTTACTCTTTTTCCTCTCGCACTGGATCTTGCAGGAAATTGGGCTCTCCTCTGCCTCCATCTCTTTGTACTCGACTAGAGCGGCACAGGGAGGCAAACAGGAAGCAGAAATACAGGCTGATGAGCTTGAAATCAGTTCTTACGGCGCCGGGAGCTGAGTTATGACGGCGGCGAAAGGCTTTTGGTCTGTATCCTTTTGTTCAATAGCGAATTTGTAGGACAGTGGGAGGTCGTTATACCATGAATTTTACATCAGACTGTCATCGAAGTTTTGTTTCAATTAAATGTAAGGGGCCTTCCGTAAATATCAATATTAATTTTTATTAGTAGAAAGGAAAAGGACATAATGGAAACGAGTTAAGAGTAACTCTCCACCACTGTAACTAGATACTATTATACAGTCAGAAAGTGCAACAACTAGGCACAAAACTGACAGAGTACTGAGACATTCGACGTCCTGACACCTAGCTTCAACACATCTCCGTAGCGCTAACCGACAGCCTTACAACTTGGAAGGTTCAAGGTTATGGAAAGACGAAAGAGGGGAATAGGGTTTTATTGCGAAACGAATAAATTTTGTTTCAACCCAACCTCATCCCCCCCCCCCCCCCGAACAAAAAAATGTTGACATACACCTGCATATATAGCAAAAGTTGCAAGTGTGTTACTGCTCCTACCTCCATGTGCATGATCGTACCAATGTTTTCTCATACGAAATTGATCAACCCCCTCCCAGTACCCCACCTCATCACGAACATGTTTCGTATCGTAAAAAAACTAGTTCAATATCAATTTTGTGGACGACCCTAAGACCATTGAAAATCAACCCATGAATCAAACCATCGGTGCTCTCACGGTTCACAACATCACTAGGTAAGGTACAATGTACACGTACTAGGCACCGGCAGATAATGCCGGCAGAAAAATTGGCAGAATTAGGTACTTTTTCTGATAAGTTTCAGGCATGTTTGGTATGTGGATAAAGAAATGGAGCCGCTGAGGAATTGCCCGCCATAAGGTTTGTATGGTTCTGCCAGTTTCACTGCTTTTCGAGCAGAATCTGCCACCTTTTCGAGCAGAATCTGCCGGTGAGTAACATGTACGCCTGAAAACGATTTTGGAAACTTCGTGTTCGTAGCCAAGAGCTTGTAGCGGATCATTTCATTAATTTTCATTTATTTCACCTTCCCATCACATAGCATTGTTCAGTATTGACATTCCATGTGGAATGTTTATGTACTAAGTATGTTCTTCTTCAGCACCACTCGGTACTGGCCAATGAAGGATGATGATGATGTGGGAGATAGGCAGACATGCAAACGTGGCATTGAATTTGTTTTCAAATACTCTAATTTCAGAAATTTTCGGTGCTCAATATTTTCGGTATGAGGGAAAAAGGCCAGGTTAGGTGAACAGAAATTTTAGGTACAGAGAAGCAGTTCCCTATTGGATTATGTGTGATAGTAATAATATTGTTCGGTGTTCAAAGGATCAGTCGGGGAAGTGAACTGCCTGAAAAGAGAAAAAAACGCCAGACCCACCAGGACTCGAACCTGGGACCCTGGTTGTCATGAGCAATGCTCTAACCACTGAGCTATGGGACCAGGCTGAACCTAGAAGGCGCTGACAAGTTTTTCACTCCAAAGGCAGCTCACAACACGTGCCACACATACTGATGGCACTTGGGTCTTTTTCCCTCCCCCAGGGGACCAACCACGGTCAGTTTCTGGAAACTACCAGAGGTGAAAGAAAGTGATTAAATTTGGAAAGAATTGGGAGAACTTCATGGCGTTTTTTCTCTTTTCAGGCAGTTCACTTCCCCGACTGATCCTTTGAATATGAAGTTCTCCCAATCCTTTCCAAATTTAATCACTTTCTTTCACCTCTGGTAGTTTCCAGAAACTGACCGTGGTTGGTCCCCTGGGGGAGGGAAAAAGACCCAAGTGCCATCAGTATGTGTGGCACGTGTTGTGAGCTGCCTTTGGAGTGAAAAACTTGTCAGCGCCTTCTAGGTTCAGCCTGGTCCCATAGCTCAGTGGTTAGAGCATTGCTCATGACAACCAGGGTCCCAGGTTCGAGTCCTGGTGGGTCTGGCGTTTTTTTCTCTTTTCAGGCAGTTCACTTCCCCGACTGATCCTTTGAATATGAAGTTCTCCCAATCCTTTCCAAAATTGTTCGGTGTATTGAAATTAATTTTTAGGTATGAAACAGATGCACCGAAAATAAAATTACAGTCAAATCTGTCGTAAGCGACCGCCCCTTGGTGCAAGAAAAAGCGGTCGCTTACGGCAGATGGTCTCTTACGGCAGATGTATGGTAAATCCGGCATACCAGGTATATGCTTCCATGTACTCAAATCGACGAGAATAATGTGATTTTTTATATCATTTTATTGGATATTCAACGACGACCATACCCGTATAGTACGCGTATGCGACACGGCAGTAGATCGACACTGCCTGGACTTGAGAGCTACAGCACAGCCTCAGTACACATGGTACAGGCCAGGCGCCAGTCGATCGCACTTGCAAGACAGCGCATTTTCACACTTTGCAGTTGACAGCGCACTGGCAAGTACAGTTTCGCACCTTACTGAACCTGGGTCGCGGTCGCTTCCAGCAGATTTGAATGCAGCCACCGTGCATGAAAATCGCGGTCGCTGGTCGCGCACAGCAGATGGTCGCTCTGGACAGATCAGTTTGTATGTGAAACCGTCGGTGCACGGAAAATCGGTCGCTAACGGTAGATGGTCGCCTACAGCAGAGGTCGCTAACGGCAGATTTGACTGTACACCGAAAATTTGTGAAATTACAGTAGAGTAAAACCTGTCAAGGCGCGACCACTCTGATTGGGAGACCACCTGTCTCAGGGACCACTCTGATTGGGAGACCACCTGTCTCAGGGACCACTACAGCTGGGACCAGGGGATGCTATTTTCAGTCAAGTGACCCCCGTCCAGGAAACCACCTGTACTCGCGCGACCCCGTTTTGAATTTCCCCTGCGTGGTCGTCTTAGACAGGTTTCGCCATAAAGTGTAAATGCAATAAACGACTTACCGTCGTCATCATCCAGGTCAAATTCCTCTTCATCATCATGGGGTGGATTGGACGCCCAGACTTTCAGCTCTGCCATGGCGGATGATCCGCTGCACAGCTTGACCGCCACGTTGTACTTTTCCGCTTTGATTCCACCCACATGGATACCGAGCGCCGAAGCTTTCTTCCCGGCCTCGTCTAAGGTGTACAGCACACAGCCGCTCTGTCCAGCGCTGGAGTCGATATAATGCTTGAAGAGCGCACCGTTGAACCCTTCCACACTGCCCGGTGTTTCTACCCAATACTTGCATTTCTTTGCTTTGTCCCAAGCGCCATTCACTTTGATCCACCCTGGAAAGCCGAGCAGGAACGAGTTTTTCTTCTTTTCAGTCGCATTTGGCGCAGCCTTCAACACCTTGCTCAAAGTCGTGAACGGAGCTGACATGGTGGTCTCCCTCGAGGCAGCAACAATGCCATAATCGTGTGGGAACCGATCTGCCTTGGCACTTTGCTTCGCATTCTTTAAAGTACCATTCAGGCACCTTCAGCCACCCATCGGCATTCTTCTTTGTTATCCTTTTGGACAGAAACACAGGTGACGGGCTTTCACTAGTCCCCTGCCATTTCTCGATGATTTGCACCCACCGGTAGTCGCCGCAATTGTAGCAGTAGAGGTTGTGAGCCGCAGTGGCCAGGTAATAATACTCGCCAGATAGCCGGTTCAGGTCGTGCAGCAAAAACGCCGTCCCGCGGCCACTCTCGCCGCACTTCACGCAGCCCATTTTGATGTTGAACGTGGCGTGGTAGGGTGCGTGGTGCGGCGAGTCAACTGGCGGCTCGTTGGCGATTTTGCGATGATCGGTCGATTCAATCAGGATTTCCTCTTCAAACTCAGCATTGGAAGTCGCCATTGCTTCTGCCAAGCTTCATCCAGAGAGAGTCAGTTTGCTACGAGGACACGAACGGAGGCAAAAACAATACAGTGAAGTATTGAATCGATCGATCGTCGCATGCGCTTGCACTGTACTTTGCAGTACAATTAATTATTTAGTAGGGCTGAAACGATTGTACCGAATAATCGAGTACTCGTTTGATGACTCTGATCTATCTAACGATCGAGCAATCGTAGGCCGGCCCCGGTCACACATGCACTTTTTTGGCGGTAACGTACGTAACGTACGCTTCCGCCGTTGCCTCGGCAACGGCGGAGGCGTAAGTAACGCTTTGGCGGAAAGTTTGGATTTCGCTACGCCAAAAAAATGCGAGCGGAACCCCCGCTTTCGCGGATCCGCTTTGGCGGAACCTGGATGGTGATGACTTTGGAGTTTGGTGTGCTACGTCTGCATTGAGTTCTGGTGTTGTTTGGTTGCCGTTTGGTATTCATTTTTCATATTGTTCTTCTTTGCCAATGAACTGTACGTTCTGGAGATCTCGCAAACAGTACTGCATCGGTATGAGTGGATAGGTGGTGAGGGAATCCGTCTCCCAACTCATTGGCCCCGATCGCGGACGATCTCCAACTCTCTCCTTCTCTCTCCAAGCACCAGAGTATGCAACACTAGGACTGCAACCAGGGAGTAGTAGAGTACTCTGTCACGCCCTCACTGCAACTGCAGGCATCCACGCAGTCGCTGGGTCGATGATGGATCATGGAGGAGGCAACGACACCCTGCTATACAACTATTTGAATTTGATATTGATGTAAACTAAACTAATATTCAAATACACCCGTACTCATGGTACTGGGCCGCAGTGAATGTGCCCAAATCCACGAGTGTACTTGACAGGAGACATTCAGCAGCCTGTCAGCGACTCCTTTATACTTCAAAATAGTTATTGTGTACGGTCTCATGCTATTGACAGACTGTAATCTGTATTGCACTCGTACATGTAGTGCATGTACATGTACATGTATGGTGCAGTTTGCTCAGTTTTGAGTTTTTCAAGTTCAAATCATGTTTTTAGCCTTCCAGTGAGATCCAGGAAGGAAACATTCTGTTTACATGATCCTCCAGAAAAGTTACATTGCCAAAAAACCATTACAATAGGGCTTGAAAGTGCTACGTCACAGCATAGCAACAATTTCAAAAATTCAAAAATTGGATCCACTTGGATCCAGTTTTTGTATGGATCCAAGCACATTTCGAGCCGTCTTACTCTCAGCAAGGTGATGTAACCAGTGAAACTGACTGATTTGGCTACTGGGGGCGGGGTTACAACTGGTGGCGAAATAAAAGTCACACCTGCATGCGACATGAGTGGGTTGCTATGCACCCACATACTTAGGCAATAGCAAAGTCACACCTTAGTGGATCCAAAAATAGAAATCTGATGACAACTTACTACTCCCTGGCCGTTTTGACGTCATCACTTTCAAGCCCTATTAGCCAGAAAGTCCATTTTAGGTTCCGGTTACCATAGCAATCAGCGCTGAATTTAGTTTTACTTCCAGTGCAACCCTTGGACAAAATCAGGAATGACAACAAGTGGTTTTTCAATGTATGCTAGCTCGTCTATCGACTGGGTAAAAAAAAATGCGGTGCCCTGTTCCTCGGAACGAAAAGTCACATTTTCGCCACTTGGCCCACAGACTACTGTACTCGATGTTTGAACTCACGCTGCATTAGGCCTCGACCAAAATATGCTTGTGCATATTTCCGCATATTTTGTGAGACAGTTTATATATGGCATATTGAGCGACGAAGGGAATATTGGAATGAAGGCAGCATATAATTCAAACATTCTGAAGAAAATGAGGACAAAACATCCATATTATGGACAAATGCGTTCAGAAATGCCTTTTATGGATGAATTATGGACGTTTTCCCTGATATGCGACGAGCATAATAATTATGCTCTTTTTTTTAGCATATTTGGTCGAGGCCTATGCTGCATACACTGCGCCAAGAGTACATTATAGCAAGAAAAACTGCTTTATGGCAGTTTTCTAAAAAAGTTATTGTGTTCTAGTCCATGGACCCCGTCTAAAAAGTAAGAAATTAACGAAATGTTAACTGGTTTTGAGGGAAAGAGACAAACGGGAAAAGTCTGAAGAAAAAATTGACTGTCCCCACCAGGACTCGAACCAGGGACCCTCGCTTGTAGCCAGCGATGCTCTAACCACTGAGCTATGGTGTAGTCGTCATCCAAGCAGAGACCGTTCAACGTTTTCTTCAGACTTCGTGACTCACACTTCCTGTGAATCCACACAGGCTGGTGGGACGAAATGTGATAGCTGAAAATTTAAATTTCACACAAAACCTCACAATAATCACAATACTTGAAATGCTGCTTTCAACACTAAACTTGTACTGCACCAACAATTGGCAACATACATGCATAGGAAAGAGGATCACGAGGGGAAAAGGTCTTCTGCATGTAGCTTTCATTCTGTGTGTGATTATTGTGAGGTTTTGTGTGAAATTTTAATTTTCAGCTATGACATTTCGTTAATTTCTTACTTTTTAGACGGGGTCCATGGACTAGAACACAATAACTTTTTTTAGAAAACTGCCATAAAGCAGTTTTTCTTGCTCTAATTTCTTTTGTTTTCTGTCACCAATCAATGGAATTCCCTATATCAATATGTAAATGATGGCCTTCACATCATATCAATACCGTATTATACGCATTGATGTGCAAGCCTTTTCTTGCAGAAAATGGCACTAGCATAATGCATGTTCTTCTGCAGGGTAACATGTGAGTAGTGGTGGTGATACCTTTTTTATACGGAGGTCATTCTGTGCATGTTGCTGTTGCAGAATTTCATGACTCTGTCATAACATTGTCTTGCCTTTCAGATATTTCAGATTTCCCCACCCTCGATCAGATTTATTTGAGAAATGTAGCCATGCGCCAGGTGCGTGCCGCAGATGTTTTTGTTGATTCTGTGTTTATAATGGTTTATAATCCTTTTTTTCTAAACATTTGAACATTTACACTGATGTATATACATTGTTTAATTTTGTATTTTTTATATAATTTGTTGGTCCCAGCGGCCTCTTCATATTTGTGCAGCTGCACTGTTGAGCTTCCGATGTAAAACAAATAATAATAATAATAATAATAATTGTGGAAGAGAAAAACAACATCCGAGTTTCAAATAATAATAATAATATTAACTGGTTTTGAGGGAAAGAGACAAACGGGAAAAGTCTGAAGAAAAAATTGACTGTCACCACCAGGACACGAACCAGGGACCCTCGCTTGTAGCCAGCGATGCTCTAACCACTGAGCTATGGTGTAGTCGTCATCCAAGCAGAGACCGTTCAACTTTTTCTTCAGACTTCGTAACTCACACTTCCTGTGAATCCACACAGGCGGGTGGGACGCAGCCCTCACTGTACCCACACACTTCACGTACAAACTAGCACGCGGGGAGCCCCAAGTCATAAAATATTAACTGGTTTTGAGGGAAAGAGACAAACGGGAAAAGTCTGAAGAAAAAATTGACTGTCACCACCAGGAATAATAATAATAATAATGAGAGCTAAATGCAACAGGGGTGAGGAACTAATTACAACGCTAGAACTGTGTATTGAGACAAACAATCATGCTGTGCACCTACGAAAACAATCTTAACGCAACTACATGTTTCTTCTGCTTACAAAGATCAGGCTTATGCAAACGAATACAAACAGCCTCAAGTACTTTCAACTGACTAGCGTACCGTGCACGACAAAGAACAGAAAAACTAAAATCATCATACACCTGCAGACACTTAGGGTGAGACAACAGATGAAGAAAAACAGCAGACTTCTTACGATCACAATCACCATCCGATTCCTCGTCTCCACCAACCGCAACCTCGTCCTCCGTCTCATCTTCCAACTCGTCCTCAGTGTCGTCCCCCGTGTCATTCTCCTCATCCACACCGATCGGTCCCAGGCTCGCTTCATGTTGCTTAACCTCTGTTCGTTGACTCCTCCTTTGATCTTGATGGTAATTTGTTACCATTGTTGTTGTTATTGTTGTTGTTCCTGCTGTCCTCTTCTGTTCCCAGTGTCTTCGCCGGTGCTTGACATCCAGTACTGTAATAATTCATTGAATAATTAGCCGTTGATCGTCTAGGTCTTTGAATGTTGATCGTGTTGTTTTCTCTGTTGAATTCCGTTCCCTTCAGCTTTCTTTCTCCTTGTTCATGTTCAGTGCTTACCTCTTCCATATTCACCTGTGCCACCCACCCCACAGACCCAGCCCCAGCACCGCCGATGACAGATGCAGGTGGCGGTTCCGGGGGAGGCAACGGCAACGACGGCGATGGGGGGGGCATCACGTCATCGCAGCGTCCACTTTGGTCTTGAGCCAGATGTTCTTGTGGCGTACTCTCTTGTGTTGTTATCGTGCATTGTGTTGTGGTGACGATGTGCACATCGTCGCATCTACATGTACATGTACATGTACGCACGATGTCACATCTTTTGATATGCCATGTGCATAATACACTCTAGAGTATGTAATGTTATGTTCGTTTATCCGGTTCCTCGCCTATCCTGTTTTAAAGCTAAAAGGAAGCTTGGACTGTATTACGTTCCCTTGGACAGGGGTATATGCAGATTGATCCCTAGGATGAATACCTTGAACTGTCCATCTATTTATTACCTTGATAGTTGATACCCTCAATCTATTTCTGCAACTTGTCCTCGCCCACTTACTGCAGTGTGGCGAGCATATACATGCCAGCTTGGAGTATCAATGCGTGTTGAGTGATGGTCTCGTGATGCATGCCGCTAATTATTATGCGCCGAGTGTGGTCTGCAATTTGCTTTTGGCACTTCTTTTTTATTTATTTTTATTTTTATTATGTTCACATTCCCAGCTCGAAAATAAAAAAAGGAAGACAATGGTACTGAGACTAGGACGAACGTGACAACTGTTGAGCAAGGGCTGCACCGAGACGCAGCAGTGATGGTGGGGCATTGATGGCTCTGCCGACCTGAGGTCTCGGCATCACGGCCAAAAACACGCACCAAAAATAAAAGATAGAGCTGTACGATCCACGTACGAGTCAGCAAAGTGAAAAGAAAGGAAGGGTTAACACCAGCGAGTGTGCGGGAGAAACTGTGAGACTATTAACACATTACAAGGGT